TTGTATTGAATAGTGTAATTTGTTTTTAAGAGAGACATCTTATTTATAGCTTAACTTGATAGGAATGTTTTACTTTCTAATCAATGTGGGTCTAACTAACATGTGCATTATGTATATATGTATATACATTAACAGAAGTAAACAAGGTGTCCGCTTAGGAAATGTCTGGAAGATTGGTGACATTGGTCTAATACATGTTTGTTTAATTTTACTTCTAAATAATAATTTTATTTTGAAAGATAAACAAATGGTTAGTTTTTTAACTTATAATTTCAAAATTTACTTATAACAGTCTGTGTCGCCTTGGTAAGACAAAAATGCTATTTGTACCAAGTTGCTCGACAAAAGTTGTTGACAAAGTGACATATAGGATAGAGATCAAGTGGCAGTGGACGGCTGTGATTTAATTTTACACCAAGTTGAGGGCGTTAAAATGGGAAATCTTTGTGGGGAAAAAATAAAACAAAAATGCTATTTGTATCAAGTTGTTTGACAAAAGTTGATGACAAAGTGACGTGTAGGGTGGAGATCAATTGGCAGTGGACGACCGTGATTTAATTTTACACCAAGTTGAGGGGCGCGAAAATGGGAAATCTTTGTGGGGAAAAAATAAAGCAAAAATGTTATTTGTACCAAGTTGCTTGACAAAAGTTGTTGACAAAGTGACNNNTGACAAAAGTTGTTGACAAAGTGACGTGTAGGGTGGAGATCAAATGGCAGTGGACGGCTGTGATTTAATTTTACACCAAGCCGAGGGCGCCAAAATGGGAAATCTTTGTGGGGAAAAAATAAAAATCTCTATTTGCAGAATAAACAATTTTCCCTCTCCGGCTATCACCATTTCCTCCAAATCAATCTTCTCCTCCAAATCCATTTCCTCCCAATACAGAGGCAGAAAGTAGGCAACTCATTCTTCATCTTCGCTATATACATAGGCAGAAATTGGACTGCAAGATTAGGCTAATGGAAAAAGGGAAATCTTCAGCCATGGCAAAATAATTATAAATTTCTACTGGACCTAAAGTCCTGTATTCAGATCCAAAATGTGATAGGCCACCTCTGTCTGTGGATTGAGCCACTGAGATTCAGAACAATTCATACCCGAGCGATATGTCCTAATTTTAAGCATGTTGATTTTTTATAGTCATAGGATAGAAATCTTTTTCTTCCGCCAGAGTTGGAGCAAAAGCATCAGATTTGCAGGGTGATGATAAGCTTGAAGATAAGTTTTAAGCACCTATAATCCCACTGAATTAATCCATACGGTGAAAAAAAGTTATCTATTTCTATCCACTTTCTCTCAAGATTCTCCACAATATGTCACCACCTCCACGGCCAGAACCATGACAGCCTTCTACACCAACATTTCCATAACAATGGTGCTTCTTCGCCACCTCTACCCTCCAACTGAATTGGTGCATAACAGTGAGGACAGCTAGCAACAAACTGAACTTAGGATACAAAAAGTTATTGAAAGCAAAAAATATGAGAAAGAAATTGAGCTGTGAACTTGCTCTTAAATATGTGACGCTGACCGGCTGCCGGAGGTGGGGATGACATCGGAGGTACGGATGCAGCTGGACTTGAGTGGCTGACGGAGTTTGGGAGGAAGGGTTTGGTTTAAGTTGATTTGGGGGAAATGGGGGGAGGGAGAGAGAGAGAGAGAGAGAGAGATGTTGGGTTTTCTAATTTCGAAGTTTTAAGTTTTTTTTTTTTTTTTTGTAATTGATGCCAC